GGATTCCCACACAAGTTAGTAAGGTACGTACACTCTCTACACCTCTTCTCTCAGCCTATTGGTATGAAATATTACGATTTAGTTTTATCTGATTTCGTCTTTGTTATCGCATCGCTCAATATGCTGGAATATAGTGATGGGTTGGGCTACTTGGCACATGAAAGTTCACGAACCAATCAAAGCTCTTCGACAGCAGCTTCTTCTGCCTCTCCTCTCCCAGCACCTTCACACTACTTATCCACTCTGCTACGTATCCAACCCGTCATTTTTTACTTTGATTTCAGCTCATGATACATACGTAGAACAGCTAGTATGAGAGCTGGCGTATCTATCTGATATCTCGCTGCCATGCCCGCGTTTTCCGCAACTTCAGTCTCGTAGACATGGCTGGAAGCTGTGGATGACCGATAACTACTTAGTTTCTCGTCATTCCATTACTTCTCGAGCAACGTCATAAACCTGGCGATTTCTTATGCCATCGTCAGTTGCTAATTGTTTCCTCGAACCATGTGTGTTGCTTTGCAGGAATTGACTACCGTCTTCTCAGACGCTTACCGTATTCTCCCGGATAAAACACCCCCCCATAATTGTACACCCCCGGGTAGCTTATACGGGGTGGGTGTTATATCCGACCCTGTTAGTACTATACCCCCCTTTTTGGGGTGATTCTCTATAACACCCCCCTTTTCTTATAGATTCCTATTATAGCTGTTATTGAGTCCGATTCCTTACTGGAGGATACCGCGAAAATCGCTCCCTAGAAGAAATTCCGCATGTACTTTCACTTAGAATCAGCCGAGATATCCCCCCTCCCACAATCTCGCTGTTGCCACGCTGGTGAATCCCAAAATCTCGCTGTCGCCACGCTGGCGAATCTTCCACTACAAGTGGTCCAAGAGGTGAAGTGGCCCAAGTGGCCCAAGTGGCCCACAATATCCTCGTACTCTGTTTTGCGGCATTGATCAACAATCTTGAAGTGAAGTCAGACCCCTGATTTTGTTTCACATCTTTTCTTTTGTATAAAAAATATACCATATCATAAGACCCGGGTATTATATAGGACTTTGAGGAGACCCTCCCCATTTTTTTCCAGTGGTTTTCATAATACCCTAGGTTGTTTTATCCGGGAGAATACGGTATGTGTGGAGCTCTAGATTTCGTTTACGAGGTAAGCAAGCTGCCTGTATAGCCTTTGTGCTCTGCTTTTGCAAATATTGGTTTTATTCCCAATTCGCTATTTCCTACAGGTTACTCTCCGTGGCGAGCTTCTTGACGTGTCAAGGCACGTCTGTCAGAGGTCCACTAGTGATCCCCGATTGATCCTAGGGAAGGGTTACAGGCACGTTGGCCTGGGGGTTATGGGCGCACTAACCCGCTACTTAACAAGCCCTTTTATCCCAATGGTTAGTGGCTGGGATTCTGACATGGTATCAGAGCGAAGGTCGCGGGTTCGAATCCCAGTGTGTGCACTTCGGGCATCCCTGTGCGGGGGGTGTCAAAGGTCCACTGGTGATCCCCGATTGATCCTAGGGAAGGGTTACAGGCACGTTGGCCTGGGGGGTTATGGGCGCACTCACCCGCTACTTAACATGCCATTTTATCCCGGTGGTTAGTGGCTGGGATTCTGACAACGTCATCTGGTAAGCTGTTTCCTGCTAACGTGTCGAGTGTTGGTTTCCAGTTCGTCGATTTCGACTCCCTTTGTCAGTCTTATCGCATTATTTGTGAGGTACGAATTCTGCTCGGCGCCATGTCGCTGGGACGTGTTAGTTTTTCTACTGTTTCTGTTGTTCCTGTTTTCCCCGTCAACTGTGTTGCAGGAGCACGCATTGTACTTAGGGTAGTAAGCAATGCACGGAGGGTTCTTTAAAGGGAGTATAATAGCTAATGAAACGTGATGTTTGTCAGTTACACACGTTTATTTGCATGTTAGCAGCTGTTTTAATACTGAAATTGTTGCATGTAATTTTGTACTGCAAATATGCAGATAAAAGATTAATGGAACTAACTCCAACAGATAATTTATGCAAAGTATGGTTATGTTACATGTATTTTAGAATGCCAACTAGTGAAATTATACACAGCAGAATACGAATCGATTTATAATATATGTAAACGTGGCTATATCAGGATGTGATATAAATGTTGTGTAATGTGTTGGACAACTTTTCTTTAGTGCCAATTAGTGTACTGTGTCAAAAATGTTGTGAAATATGTTGGCGAGGCATTTCACAACGAGGTCGCGGCTCGCGTGTGATTCGTTCCCGCAGGATGGGAGGGGTTCCCTGTGGGTCACCGTCTGTGGGTGACCTCGGGGTCACCACGCGAAGTGACTTTTGCCGAGGTGACCCGCGGGTTACCTAGACAAGGACCTCGGGGTTACCCGCTACGGGGTAAGTTGTGGGTAATTTCGGGGGAGGGTTTTAACCCGAACTTTTTTGGGATGGGGGAGTAAGCGACGGATCAAGTGAGCGATGCAAATAAGGGACGGATGACGATCGGCGGCGAGGGATATGAGGGACGGAGGGAAGAGAACGATAGGTGAGAACGCGGGACGGAAGCGAGGGACGGGACGGAAGGTGTTGGGAGAGACTGGAGGAGGGAAAGAAGGCACGACTGGGACGGGAGTAACGAGAGCGACGCCCAGGACAGACGCGACGAGGGTGACGGGAGGAGGGGTAGCGGCGAGAGGGACGAGAGAGACTAGAGGAGCAGGAGCGACTAGAACGATGGACGCGACGAGAGGTACCCTGGTGAAGAGATGGTTTCCGCGAGAAATTTGCGCATACCGCAAGCGAGAGGAGGCATTGGGAGTGTCGAGAGGGACGGGAGTAACCTATACCATGCAACCCGACCGAAGTTAGTAGGTTTGTCCCGGGAAAGGCAGGTGCTAGTTATCGGCTGCTGACGATATTGTGGGCTTCGGAGCTAGATAATACGAGTCTAGATCATGTTTCAAGTATTCAGAAGTATGAACAGTGGTGATGATTCTTGTTTTTTTCTGGTGAGGGTCGTCAGTGGTTTTGCTGTGGTGCTTTTGGCCAATCACATTCATGCGCTTCAAACCCCTTCACATTGGATCGCGAGAGAACACCACAGAAAGGCGGGTTACCATGTTGTTAGGCGAAATCATGTTCAAGAATCTTGAACTTGAACCCTTGCCATTCTAGAATCGGGCTTTAACACGTTTTTTTTTTCAAATAAACTGAATTTACTTACTAGAAAACTAAAGATGACGTAGTAGGCTTGTGTCTGGAGACCTTTTTAGCACAATAGTGAAGATCGTGCGCTTATCGCCCCCAAGAATCACTTTCCCCACTTATCATCGTACCGTGCATTGACACGTGTCAGGCTTAGAAGCATCCGCTCGAGCATTCCTTGTACTGTACCCACCACCACCTTCCGCCCATCTTCCTGAACAGTGTCCGTCCGTTCCGTCCGTCCGTTCAGTTGCGCAGCAGCACAGCAGGTCCGTCCGTCCGTTACGCCTGAGGGCGTGTTACATTTTCGTTTTTTTCCGGACTGGACCGGACCGTCAGAACGGTTCAAAGTGGTATAGTTTTAGAACGACTGGTTCAAGTGGGTTTCTAAACTTTTTAGAGTGGTGATTGTCCGAACAGTGCGATAAAATCGAAAATGTAACACGCCCTGATTTCGCCGAGGGAACGTTCATGCATTCTCCCTGTTCCATATCGTGTGGGCTGGCAGTCCCTGCATCAAGGTCGCATGCCGTGAGTGGCGCGTCGCGACCTCGGTGTCGCAGCCACCAGAAGTTCCTAATTCCGCCTTAATCTCGTGGCTACTCCTTGATGCCCGAGCCGCCGCGGCGTCTCCAATCCGCCTCGCTCTAGAAGTAATAAACACGACTCGGAGTCTTCGCCACGTTCGTGGCGCGGCGTCGCTAGTATGAGTAATAGCGCCTGCTCTCCACGGCGTTGACTTTCTTCAGAAGTTCCGCAGCCTCTCCGCCTTACCGCAGCCTCTCCGCCTTCCGCAACCCTCTCCGCCTTACCGCAGCCTCTCCGCCTTCCGTAGCCTCTCCGCCTTCCGCAGCATCTCCGCCCGCTGCCGCGTATCCGCCAGCCGAGCTTGTTGGATTCGTTCCTTCGTTTTGTCTACTCGGAATTTGCTAGCCGTCCGAAACGAATTGAGCGTCGTTTTCGTCGACTCGGAAATCCTTCGTTGCCATAATGAAGCTTCGCTAGTAACTTTGTCGCACGCCACCATTCGCGCTGCCAAAATCGCATCATTCAACCGTCATGAGCGCAGGCGACGGCGACGATCATGATCGCAGGGACGCCGCCGCCATGCTCGCGTCGCACAGCGCGTGGCGACACATGCTGGCGACGGCGGCGAGACCGCCAGCGGCGCATCTCGAGGTTCCGCGGCGCCACGTCATCATCAAATCATGGATTGGCTCGCCTCACAGTAGCGGCGGAGCCGGCGCCGGCGCCGGCAGCGGCACGTGGCGGTGGCACGCGGCTGAGAAGCACTCCTCGTCGCCTCTCGCGCTCCTCGCCCTGCCGTTCCTCCTCCTCCTCCTCGTCCTCTGCTCGCTCTTCCTCGTCTCCCTCAACCAAGCCGGCTCCTTCGGCTGGGAAACCTTTACAGATCCCACCAGCCTTCCTCCCACCGGCCCCAACTGCCAAAGCACGGACCCCAGAGTAACCAACACAAGCAGTTACATCACCGGCAATGGTGACAGCACCATCACCGGCGACCTAAACCCTAGCAGCAGTGCTTTCACCAGCAGCGGCGGTAGCAGCAGCGGCAGCAGCGGTGGCGGCGGCGGTGGCGGTGGTTACCGCAGGTCACCGTTCCTCGCCCATCTGCACCACGCTGCCATGCTCCGCTGGCGGCCGGCGCGGGACGTCAGTGGCAACGGCGGCGGCGAAGGCAGTGGCGATGGTATGGTCGACAGCAGCAGCGGCAGCGCAAGTGATAGCACAAGCGACAGCAGCAGCGGCAGTGGGTGGGAGACAGCAGGGGTTGCACCTGGCATGGGCAGTGGTGATGGCGACGGAAGCGTTGCTGCTGCGGAGGGTGCTGGTTCCGGTGAGACTCTAGGTGCCGGTGGTGCCGATGCCGCCAGTGTTGGTGGTGGTGGTGCCGGTACTGCTGTCCACCCTGCCGCTGCTGCCCTGCAAGCACTCGCCCTCGCGTCGCTGCCGCCACCCTCGGTTGTGCCATCTATCGCAGCACCGCTGGTATCGGAGGCAACAGCAGCGCTGGCATCGCTGACAGCAGTATCTGCAGAATCAGTGGCATCATCAGAATCCCCGACCTCCCAATCCCCACCCTCACAATCCCTGCCCGCCCAGTCCCAGCCCTCACAGTCCCCGCCCTCTCAGTCTCAGCCGACTGTGCTGCCGTCCTTCCTCTCACCAGCGTCGCTACCAGCCCCCGCAGCAGCATTGCCAGCAGAAGCAGCAGCAGGCACATCGTCAGGAGGACTACCATCAACAGCATCAGCATCGGCATCACAAGCACAGTGCGCATCCCCCTCATCTACCTCGTCCTCATCCCCCGGAGGGGCTCTCTACATTCCCATGACCGCCATAAGCGGGTGGGCGGACCCTCAACCTCCACCCATCACCCCATTGGCCAATGCCAGCCTGGCTGCTGACGTCGTTGCGGACGTGGCAGGAGACGTGGCTAGAATTGGGGGAATTCCCAGCGAGCCCCTGCTGGGCGCGCCGTGGAGCCCCAACGGCAGAAAGTACCTTCTGGCGCTCTGCTCCACTGGCGGGGTGAGAAGTGCTGCTCTGCTCCGCTCCGCTCTGCTCTGCTCTACTCTGCATGTGTGCTCGCCTTTCTGTGTGTCAGAGACAAGTGCCACGATGCTCTTGTCCACCTGCTCCCTTGCTTCGCAAGCGCCCCTCCCATGCACCCCTGCGCCCCTCCTCCCATGCGCCCCTCCATGCGCCCCTGTGTGCCTGCCACCCCACGCAGATGTCCAACCATCTCTTCTGTCTGCGGGAGTTCGCGCTGATGGCAGGCGCTCTCAACCGAACGCTCGTGGTGCCCATGGGGCCACACGAGGTATGCTGAGTTGCCCTGCCCTGCCCTGCCCTGCCCCGCCCCGCCCCGCCCTGCCCTGTCCTGCCTTTTCTTGCCTTGTTGCCGTGCCACTGACCCTGGCTTTTGCTGCCTTGTCATCGAACCATGGCATGTGATGGGGTTGTGGGTATGACCGTTTTTGCTGTTCAGCAAGTACTGTCAATTCTAACAAATGCCCGCTGGATGTTTGCTAGCTGCCGTGCCTGCCTCGTACACTGCTTCGAGAAAGTCTTCATTATGTCGCTGTTTCTTCCCCTTTTGCCGCCCTGCGGGCCTGCGCTGCGCCTCTCCGCACCTCCTCCTCCTCCTCGTACACATTTTTCCTTTCTCACCCCCACCTTCCCGCTGTTGCCTCTTGATTGCACCCGTCGCACAACAGCTGACCCTGCCGCTCTCCCTCGTGTTCGACATGCCCTTCCTGCGCGCCTGCTATGGTCCCAAGACTGCCCTCACCCTCGACGAGTACAAGCAGTTCGTGAGTCATCCGTGCTGCCGTGCCGCTGTCATGCCCCATGCCCTCGTGTGTGCCGTATCCCGTGTGTGTGTGTGTGTGTGTGTGTGTGTGTGTGTTTGCGCGCGCGCGTGTGTGTGTGTATGTGTGCGTGTGTGCCTGTGTGTGTGTGTGTGTGTGTGGGTGTGTGTGTGTGTGTGTGCACGCGCACACGCGTGCCATACCTTATTCCACTGCTGCCTGCCTCGTCAGCGTGTTGCGATGGCATGGGATGAGATTCGATGTCATGGGATGAGATTCGATGTCATGGGATGAGATGCGACGTCGTGGGATGAGATGCGACATCACGGGATGTTATGATTATGTCATGTGATGTGTTGTGATACGGTGCGATGTGATCTGATGTATTATCTTGGCATCTCATGTCGTGACATAACCATGCCCCCATGTTGTGTAATATCATGTAAGCATGTCATCATGTCTTACTACTGCACGGTCACATGCATGGATGCATGCATGCATACACCATCAGAGTTGTCACACTGTGCCTTACTCTTTTCTACCCCCGCCTCCTCCTACCACCTTTCCTGCCCCTACCGCCCATCTGCCCCGTTGCCCCTACCACCCGTCTTCCTCCCTGTCCCTGCCACGCATCTGCCCATGCCCCCATCCCCCACCCGCGTTTTGCCCCCTCCTGTAGGTGGGTAGGGGCAGCATGAAAGTGACCCACGTGCTGTGCCTCGTCAAGGGCTGCCACCTCGTGCCTGACGCTGGTGAGTGGGGCGCACAGAGGGGAGAATGGCAGCAGGTGGGGGAGAAAGGGCTGCACTGGGGGGCCAGGGCTGCAGTGGGGGGAACAGGGCTGCACTGGTAGAGATTAGCACCTTCTCTCCTTCCCTCCCCCTCCCCCCTGAGCCGCCACCCATGTGCATCAGCATCGCTGGCGTTCTGAGACGTCTCAGAACCCTCTTCCCCGCCCACCTCTGCACGCCACCCTTGGGCAGCAGCAGCACCAGTGGGGCAGTTTGTGGCGAGCAAGGGGCGCCTCAGCCTGGCAAACGCAGGGGGGCATTTTTAGAAGGGTTTTGAGACAACAATCCCCTCTTACCCACCTTCTTCCCCACCCCCATTCCTCCCTCTTCTACCACACTCCCCTTTCCCTCCCTTTCCCCTTGCCCTCCTCCTCTTCCCCCCCTTCCTATCCCTTCCCTCATCACCCCTCTCGTGCACCACCCCCAGGCAGCAGCACCAGTGGGGCAGTTTGCGGCGAGCAAGGGGCGCATCAGCCTGGCGAATGTTTTTGAGTCCCCTTAAAAAAATTACCCATGTGGACCAGGAAGGATGTGAGATGGCGAAACCCTTCCCCCTCCCCCCCCCTCCCCTTCCCCTTCCCCTTCCCCTTCCCCTCCCCCTCCCCTCCGTCCTCTCCGGCCCACCCATTTGCAGCAGCACCAGGAGGGCAGTTTAAGGCGAGCAAGGGGCGCATCAGCCTGGCAAACGTGTTTGAGTCACCTCAAGAGTCAAAAGTTCCTCAACACCTCCCCTCCCCGCTGCCCCCCCCTCTCCTCCTGCAGCGCATGGCGGGCAGTTCAAGGCGAGCAAGGGGCGCATCAGCCTGGCAAACGTGACAGTGCCGGCAGTGGAGCAGTGGGCGTGGTCTGGCCTGCCGGACAAGCACTCGCTGCAAGGTGGGCAATGCTGGGCTGGGCTGCAGTGCTGTATGCTGGGTTGGGCTGTGCCTGAGTGTTGCGTTGCGTGGGAAGTGCGGTCGGGCATGAGTGTAGTGTGCGACCGACCAAGGCTACTTTTGAGGCGCCTCAAAACTCGAGCGTAGTGTGCAACTGAGGCTGTGCATTGAGCAAAGTGCTGTGATTGTGAAGTGGAGTTGCATTGGAGCGTTGGGCTGGCTTGACTTTTGTTTGGCAACTGGGGCTGTTCTAGGGTGCTGTGTGTGTGGGGCTGTTTTAGGGTGCTGTGTGTGTGGGGCTATTTTAGGGTGCTGTGTGTGTGGGGCTGTTCTAGTGTGCTGTGTGTGTGGGGCTGTTCTAGGGTGCTGTGTGTGTGGGGCTGGTCTACGGTGCTGTGTGGAGACCAACGCTTGGGCTGCCTGCTATGGTGGAGAGGTCTGTGCCTGTGCTGTGCGCCGATGAAGGCCTAAAAAGCCGAAACGCGCGTACGTTCTCTGAACGACTTGTAATCTACCGATTAATACTACTACGCTTACCTACACGTCTTCTTGCCTAGTACTCAGTGATTTTAATACCTCTCAGATTAGTCAGGTCGGTCGAACCGAGCTTGCAGCTTTCTACCCGTTTTCTTAGTTTGAGAGGTCTGCGCTGTGTGGGAATCTAACCTGCCAAGTGGACAGTGCTGCAGCCTGTGCAGTGGTGTGGTGTGGTGTGGTGTGATGTGGTGTTGTGTGATGCAATGGGATTGGAGAATAGTGGTTTGATGCGGTATGGTGTGGTATGGTATGGTGTGGTGTGGTGTTGTGTGGTGGTGTATGAATGGATCAGAGGTAGAATGCTAGCAAAGAGGCCTTCGTGATGTGTCACATCCATGCGAGCACTGAGCACTTGTCTTGAACCTTGTCAAGTACTTCCCTTCCCTCTACCTTTCCAACATGCATTACCATGCCATGCCATGTCATGCCATCCAACCCAACTGTACCCCTATCAACCACACCCCTCTCGGCCACACCCCTCTTAACCGCACCCATCTCAACCTCTCCTGGCAGCGTTCCTCAAGGTGTACAGCCGAGTGCCGAACGGTGTGCTGATGATCGGCGAGTTCAAGAAGGTGCGTCCCTGTGTCTCTCTCTGTCTCTCTCTGTGACCACTGTGCCTGCTGATGCCACCTCATGATGTGTGGTGCCACTTCATGATGTGTGATGTTACCTCATGATGTGTGATGCCACTTCATGATGTGTGATGTTACCTGATATGGCCCATGATGCCGATACATATTATCTCCCCCATTCCATGGTGTAAACCTTTGTGTACGTCTATCTCATCTCATGTTCACTTTCCATCCCCATGATCCTAATTTTCCCTCCCCCACTCCACCAGCAACCCATCACGCATTCCACCTTCTTCCGCACGCTCTCTCCCATGGATCTCCCATTCCTGCTGCTCTGTGTCCTCTTCCGTTCCATGCATTCTCACACATGTCTCCCTCTCCTCCCCACCGCCTGCCCTCTCCCCCTTTTCCCACCAGCAACCCATCACGGATTCAATCTTCTTTCGAATGCTCTCCCCAATGGACCTGCCGTTCCTGCTGCCACCACCACCGGGCAAGCAGAGGGGGAGGGCCAAGCCTGCCAAGGTGGTGCCACGAGAAACGTGCCTCGTGTCTCCAGCCATCCGGGTGAGAGATTGCCATCCGGGTGAGAGATTGCCATCCGGGTGAGAGATTGCCATCCGGGTGAGAGATTGCCATCCGGGTGAGAGATTGCCATCCGGGTGAGAGATTGCCATCCGGGTGAGAGATTGCCATCCGGGTGAGAGATTGCCATCCGGGTGAGAGATTGCCATCCGGGTGAGAGATTGCCATCCGGGTGAGAGATTGCCATCCGGGTGAGAGATTGCCATCCGGGTGAGAGATTGCCATCCGGGTGAGAGATTGCCATCCGGGTGAGAGATTGCCATCCGGGTGAGAGATTGCCATCCGGGTGAGAGATTGCCATCCGGGTGAGAGATTGCCATCCGGGTGAGAGATTGCCATCCGGGTGATGTGAGAGATAAGAGAACAGGAATGAAATGACTAGGTCAAAGTTGGGTACAAATACAACCCTAGAAAGCTGTACCCCATATGTGCTACCCCACTATAGCCTACAAACATGCATCAGTTATAATACTCTGACACACCCCGATAGGCAAAGTGGGGGAGAACAAGGGGTCACAAAACCAGTCAAGCAAAGCAAAGCAAAGCAAGCTCAGGGTGGATCACAAAGTCACCACACAGTCCGAGCACAAGAGCAGGGCCAGAGGCCAGTTCACATGCAGGAGTACAGACATATATATATATAAAGCTAGACAAGCAAGAGCAGGTATATATATATGTCACAGTACAAGTGAAGTCAAGAGGAGAGCAAGTGAGGCAAGACAGGCACAAGACCCAGCTGGGTGCAAAAGCGCTGATGGTCACAAGGCACGAGTGCCTTGGTGAACACATCAGCAGTGTTGGCCTCAGAGGCCACGTACGCAAGTCGCAACTGACCACGCTGCTGCAGCTCACGAGCAAGGAAGTAGCGCAGAGCAATGTGCTTCGTTCTGTGCTCCAAGCGCTGCTTTCGACACAAGGCCAGCATGGCCTTGTTGTCTACGTACAGCACTGGAGGAGAACGAGGCGGCTCTCCAAGGTCAGTCAGCAGGTAGGTGAGCCAGCGAAGCTCCTGTGCAGCCATGGCCCCGGTGTAGATCTCAGCCTCACAACTGGAGCCGAGAACCAAAGACGAGCGAGTAGACCGCCACGAGACAGAGCCGGAACTAAGGCTGAAGGTGTAACCCTGTGACGACCGCTGCGTAGCCTGGTCGTCAGCCCAAGAAGCGTCCGCGTGGCCGGTAAGGACCACTGGACTCCGCCCTCCAAGCACTAGCCCCATACCCGACGTACTGCACAGGTAGCGCAATACCCTCTTCGCTGCAGCCATGTGCTCTGGTCTGTGTCTTCCAGGAGCAACATAGCATGCAAGAATGCTCAGAGGGTATGCAATGTCAGGTCGTGTGCAGGTCATCAGGTACATGAGGCAGCCAACAAGCTCTGCATACGGACCACTCGACTCTACGGACTCATCCGAAGGCAGAGCTGAGAGTGAGTGGCGAGTAGGCAGAGGAGTGGCCTGAAGCGAGGAGTACGTGAAGCCGAAGCGCTGAAGGACCTGCTGCACCATGTGTGACTGAGTCAAGGTAATGGTGCGGCGTGCTCTGTCCCGAGTGATCTGCAAGCCAAGGTAGCTGCGCAGTTCACCCAGGTCTGTGCACGTGTGTCTCTTCAGCAGCTCGGACTTCACGTAGGCGAGTCCAGCAGTGTCCGTTGTGGCAAAGACCAAGTCGTCGACGTACACGAGGATGTAGAACGGCGGCAGGGAAGTGTCGGTGCGAAGAAACAGCTACGGGTCAGCAGTAGAAGGAGCAAACCCAAGAGCCGCAAGCGTAGTCCTCAGTGTGTCGTGCCACTCACGCGGTGCCTGGCGGAGACCGTAGACTGGCCGTCGGAGGCTCCACTGGGTGCCAGGAGGGAAAGTCCCTGTGAAGCCAGGTGGACGGCGAAGCCAGATCTCCTCGTGCAGGCTACCCTGCAAGAACGCAGTGCTGAAGTCGAGAGAGTGAAGCTCGTAGTCGCGCTGAGCGGCTATGTGCAGCAGCACCCGAAGAGTAGTCATCTTCGGGGTGGGAGAGAAGGTCTGAAAGTAGTCAACTCCCTGCCGCTGACTGAAGCCACGAGCAACGTACCGTGCCTTGAAGACAGGTGGAGAGCCCGGCGGCCGCTTCACCCTGAAGATCCACATGCCACTGACGATGTTCGCCCCAGGAGGGGGAACCGCGTCAACGTAGGTGCCTGTGGACTTCCAGGAAGCCATCTCTGCATCCATAGCTGCCTGCCACTGAGAGGAGTAGGGACCCTCTACGGCCTCCGCGTAAGAACGCGGAGTCGGGATGTCTAGTGCATCCGGGTCTCCCTCAGGGGCAAGCAGTACAGACGCGAGATGAGGTGAAGCAGCCGCTAGACACTGTAACTCCTCCTGCCTGTCCTCTAGGACGTCCGTGCCAAGAGCACACTCACCCCCGACGGACGGAGGACAGACAGACGCAGACTCAGCAACAAGACTAGCAGCGTAGTCGAGACGACAGCGAGCAGCAAAGTCGACGAGCTCAGCGACTAGAGCAGACGCAGCAGTGGACTCAAAAGAGGGGTCAGTGACGACAGTAGCAAGCAGACGCGTGACAGTAGGAATGGCAGCACGAAGAGAGTCCGACTCAGGGTCGGCAAGCGCAGGAAGAGAGGACTCAGGAGGAGAAGGCAAAAGGGCACGCTGAGGAGCAGTGGACGGACGCAAAGACATTCGGTGCGTGCCAGGGACTAGAGGAGAACGCTGACGCGAACTGCGACCACTAGCACGAGCAGCACGAACAGGCGACGCGGGACGAGACGCAGGCTCACGACGCTCAGTAAGACCTCCAGTAGGACCAGTGTAAGGAGAGGGAGCAGGCAGTGGAGAGGAAGGCTCCAGGAGGGACTGCGACTGGACAGGCGGTGGACCCTCTACTGGAGGAGAAAGACCAAGAACCTGCTGCAGGAGCGGAACGAAGTACGACCGAGGCCGTGCGGCAGCTCCAGACTCTGCAGGGACAGCACCAGCACCCTCAGCGACAGCACCAGCGCCACCCACACCTCCAGTGGCAGGACCAACAGCAGTAGGCTCAGCACCAACGCCCTCAGCAGCTCCAGCTCCAGGAGGACCCGCAGGTCCAGGAGCTCCGGGACCGGCAGCACCCGCACCCTCGACGGTCGAAGAAGCTCCAGCTCCAGCTCCAGCAGCACCTCCTGACTCAGCAGCACGCCTCCAGCGGCGAGCGAACCACTCGCGCAGCTCCTGTGGAGAGAGGGGCTCCCGGCGAGACGCAGCAGCAGGAGAAACCCAAGGCTCAGCAGCTCCAGACGCAACACCCCCAGGCTCAGCAGCTCCCAGCTCAGCACCCCCAGGCTCAGCAGCTCCCGACCCAGCACCCCCAGACCCAGCACCTCCAGGCACAGCACCCCCCGGCTCAGCACACCCAGGCTCCGCACCCTCCGCAGTAGCACCCGCAGGCCCAGCACCCCCAGCAATAGCACCCCCAGGCTCAGCACCCCCGCGCACAGCACCCCCAGAGTCAGCACCCCCAGGCTCAGCACCCGCAGCAGCACCAGAGTCACCAGTAACCTTGACCGGGTCAATGGCGTCTACCTGGGACACACCTGAGGGGGCAGGAACCTGAGGGGGGAGGGGGTCTACCGGGGGGGGAACCGGCATAAGGAAGTCCGGGGGAGGGGGGAGGGAAGGAGTGCGGTAGGGGAAGAGACGGTAGAAGGGGACTGACTCGTCGAACGTGACCACCTGGGAGGACAGAACACGACGAGAGGAGGGGTGGTAAAACTGCCACCCTGGGGCATCAGTGGGGAAGCCAAGGAAGACACAGGGAGCAGCACGAGGGGACAGCTTGTCCGCAGACAAGTCGCGGACAAACGCCCGAGATCCCCAGACACGGAACACAGACGCATCGCCAACCTTCCCCGTCCACAGCAAGGCTGGGGACATCGCAGGCCGAGAGACCCGGGGGTGAAGGTTGAGCTGATGCGCCGCGTACCTCACCGCAAACGGCCACAGAAAATGGGGGGCAGCCGCATGCATCATGGACGTACGAGCGACATCCATGACCATGCCAATGCGGCGCTCAGCAATCCCATTTTGCTGTGGTGAGTCCGGAAGCGTGAAGGTCTGGCGGATCCCCCGTGCACGACAGTAGTCTCGCAGAAGGCGAGAAGAGAACTCTCCGCCTCTGTCCGAGTGCAGACGCAGAACAGGAAAGTCCGAGCCGAAGCTCTTCCTGAGTTGGAGACGAGCCTCGCGGATCCAGTCGATCAGCACCTCAGTGACCCTTCCCTTGCTGCGCAAGGCGAGGACTGTGGTGAAACGCGAGTAGTCGTCAACCACCAACAGGAAGTAGCGCTCGTGACCCTGCCCACGTACGGGGGCTGGGCCCCACACATCCATGTGAAGCGTCTGCAGGGGAGCCTCTGTCGGGGGGAAGTGGGAGGAGTGAGGAGTAGCCCGTTTTGCTGGGGAGCATCATGGACGTACGAGCGACATCTATGACCATGCCAATGCGGCGCTCAGCAATCCCATTTTGCTGTGGTGAGTCCGGAAGCGTGAAGGTCTGGCGGATCCCCCGCGCACGACAGTAGTTTCGCAGAAGGCGAGAAGAGAACTCTCCGCCTCTGTCCGAGTGCAGACGCAGAACAGGAAAGTCCGAGCCGAAGCTCTTCCTGAGTTGGAGACGAGCCTCGCGGATCCAGTCGATCAGCACCTCAGTGACCGCACCCTTGCTGCGCAAGGGGAAGACTGTGGTGAAACGCGAGTAGTCGTCAACCACCAACAGGAAGTAGCGCTCGTGACCCTGCCCACGGACGGGGGCTGGGCCCCACACATCCATGTGAAGCGTCTGCAGGGGAGCCTCTGTCGGGGGGAAGTGGGAGGAGTGAGGAGTAGCCCGGAGGCGACCCTCGACACAGGGGACACAGGAAAGTCCTGGCCCGGAGGGGAGAGGAGGGAGAGACTGGGGAAGACCAGAGACAAGGACACGGGAAGCCATGCTCCGAAGACGGGGCAAGGAGGGGTGGCCAAGACGGTGGTGCCATAGGAGAGTCTCGTGAGACAGGAGGCGACAAGAACAGGGGGCAGACTCAGAACCTGACGGGGACGCAGCAGCAAGCACCTGACCTGACGCAGCCACCTGACCAGACGCAGGGACAGGAGGAGACTCAACGGTCAGGGTGTAGAGACTCGACCCCGGCCGACGCGAGAACGTGGCCAGGTGTCGGCCTGTGCGTGCCTCCGTGCAGTGGGTCACCCGCTGACTCGCAGGAGTGAACTGGTGAACCCCCACATCCTGCAGGTCCGCGCCACTCACCAAGTTCGTAGAGAACGAGGGAAGGTACAGACCAGACAGGGTGCCCGAAAGGGCAGCCGGATACGGGAGGACAGTGGAGAAGTGAGACAGGACAGGACCCCCAGAGGGGTTAGCAAGGGAGAATGCAACCGGCCGGCCGAGCGGCGTAAGGGTAGTGCGGTCTCGAAAGAAGGAGCGAGAAGCCCCGGAGTCAAGTGTGAAAGTGAGGGAGGACGAGGACGACGCAGTACCTGAGAGCGCAGTCTCACCAGTACCTGAGAGCACAGACGCACTGGCACCTAGAGCAGCAGCCTCACAAGCACCTAGCGCAGCAGTACCAATGCCCGGGTCGGGCTGGAAACACCGGTAACCCTCATTCTCCTCACTATAAGTCACAGCATACATAGCAGCAAGGATAGCATACAAGATCAAAGATCGCTACACCAGCCCTAAGAAGCTCATCCCAGCGAGGGATCTCACTAGCCCCAGGGAACTGCTGACGCCAAGCGTCCGTCAGGCGGCTAAAGCAGCGCTGGGTGGCGTGGGCACCCCCACACTGCTCACCCGCGCGGTCGCCGGAACGAAGAACGTAGGTGCAGGGACCAGTACCCCCACCCCTCTGACGCCCAGCGTACCACTCACGAAGCTGCTGAGGCGGAGGGATGTCCCGCGAGCGCTGCTGCTGCTACCGCTGCGAGCGCTGGCCACCACCATCGCCGCTACGCTGCTGGGTACCACCCCGACCAGCTCCACCTCCTCCACCACCACCGCCTCCTCCGCTGCCGCCTCCACCGCCTCCACCTCCGCTGCCTCCACCTCCGCCGCTGCCTCCACCACCACCGCCGGCACCACCACCACCGTCTCCGCCGCTGCTGCCACCACCACCACCACCCCCGCCACTAGTCCCGCCGCCACCCCCACTCCCTCCGCCGCCACCGCCGCCACCGCCACCGCCCCCTCCAGCTCCACCCGCGCCCTTGCCCCCCTTGCCTTTGCTGGAGCGACGTCTCCCACTAGGGGCAGACGCCGCGCCGACCGACTCAAGACCAAGCAGGTCGGCAGCAGCAGCAGAGGCAACAGAGGGCAGCAAGGGGGAAGGAGAGCACCCCTCAAAGATGGGGGTGCGAGGGTCACCACGAGAAGCACCTACAACGACTATGCTCTTCTCCGCTGCGAGGAGGGCCTTCTCGAGGAGGTCGACGGTGAGGGTGGTGGGACAGACTGCGAGAAAGTGATCCCTGACGACGCGAAGGGAGTCAGGGAGGCGCGCGACTACGTAGTAGAGAGCGATGTACATGGAGGGGGGTTCTTAGCGCAGAACTCAGCAGGAAGAGCGGCGCGGTAGCGAGTGTCACTAGTGCGGAGGTGCGTAATGAGGTCAGCGACAGTGGGAAAGGCAGAGAGGTCAGGAAAGAGGTAGGGAAGCATGAGACGGCTCAGTGCAGCAGTGGCAGGGGAAGAGTAGCGCGCAACTACAGCGTCGTACAAGGTCTGAGCACTCTTGTACTGACTAAAGTGCGCACGCTCAGAGCTAGGGAGGTGGCGACGCACAGCAAGACGTGCAGCAGCATCGCGGGTGGCCCACTGAGAGCGGACAGTGGGATCAGCATCAGCAGCAGGAGCAGGAGAGGCGCCAGAGGTGAGGTCAAAGAGAGAAAGGCCGTCAGCCCTGTCGCACTGTAAGAACGGCTGCAGGTCGTCTAACCAGACCTCAAAATCAATGGCGCGACCCTCAGCGTCAAAAGCTAGGACACTAGGGGTAGCCATGGCGACGACAGCGACGCAGTGCAAGCAGTAGGGAAAGAGCTCGCAGTGACAGTGGGACTGTGCTCACCAGGCAGGGCAGGTCGTGCAGCTCTGCAGAAGGGCGGCTCGGCGACCGGGCGGCTCGGGTGCACAGCGGCTCGGCTCCCGGGCTTGTCGGCGGCTGGGCGGCTCGGGCGTAGGGCGGCTCGGCTCCCGGGCGGCTCGGCGGCAGGGCGGCTCGGGTGCAGGGCGGCTCGGCTCCCGGGCGGCTCGGTGACAGGGCGGCTCGAGCGTAGGGCGGCTCGGCTCCCGGGCGGCTCGGCTGCACGGCTGCCCGACTGCTGCAGGTGGGGCGGCAAGGCCGCGTGAAAGAACCGGGGCGGGGCCGCGTCAGAGCCGGCGGCAGGGCCGCGTGAGGGCCGGCGGCGGGGCTGCTTGAGAGCCGGGGCAGGGGCCGCGTGAGAGCCGGGGCGGGGCCGCTTCAGAGCTGGCGGCAGGGCTGCAAGAGAGCCGAGGTAGGGGCCGCGTCAGGGCCGGCGGCAGGGGCCGTAAGAGAGCCGGTGGCGGGGCCGCAAGAGAGCCGGTGGCGGGGCCGCGTCAGGGCCGGCAGCGAGGCCGCGAGAGAGCAGGGGCGGGGCCGCGATCAGGAGGCGGCGGCGGGGCCGCGGCAGAGCCGGCGGCGGGGCCTCGTCGAGGCGGGCGGCGGGGCCGCGTTGGAGCCGGCGGCGAGGCCGGCTAAGAGCCGGCGGTGAGGCCGCGTCAGAGCCGATGGCGGGGACGCGTCAGGGCCGGCGGCGGGCCGCGATCAGCGGGCGGCGGGGCCGCGTCAGAGCCGGCGGCGGGGCCGCGTCAGAGCCGGCGGCGGGGCCGCGATTAGCGGGCGGCGGGGCCGCGTCAGAGGAGGCGGCGGGGCCGCTGCAGAGGAGGCGGCGGGGCCGCGTGAGCAATGGTGACCCGAAGGGTCGCGAAAAAAAAAATGCGCGCCTCGGGGCGCGCTTCGGTGGGCCCTGAAAAACGGTCCTTAGGAAGGACTCGCTCTATACCATGTGAGAGATAAGAGAACAGGAATGAAATGACTAGGTCAGAGTTGGGTACAAATACAACCCTAGAAAGCTGTACCCCATATGTGCTACCCCACTATAGCCTACAAACATGCATCAGTTATAATACTCTGACAGGTGAGAGATTGCCATCCGGGTGAGAGATTGCCATCCGGGTGAGAGATTGCCATCCGGGTGAGAGATTGCCATCCGGGTGAGAGATTGCCATCCGGGTGAGAGATTGCCATCTGGGTGAGAGATTGCCATCCGGGTGAGAGATTGCCATCCGGGTGAGAGATTGCCATCCGGGTGAGAGATTGCCATCCGGGTGAGAGATTGCCATCCGGGTGAGAGATTGCCATCCGGGTGAGAGATTGCCATCCGGGTGAGAGATTGCCATCCGGGTGAGAGATTGCCATCCGGGTGAGAGATTGCCATCCGGGTGAGAGATTGCCATCCGGGTGAGAGATTGCCATCCGGGTGAGAGATTGCCATCCGGGTGAGAGATTGCCATCCGGGTGAGAGATTGCCATCCGGGTGAGAGATTGCCATCCGGGTGAGAGATTGCCATCCGGGTGAGAGATTGCCATCCGGGTGAGAGATTGCCATCCAGATGAGAGATTGCCATCCAGATGAGAGGCTTACTGTGTCAAGAAACTGCCATTGAGATGTGAGATTGTCGTTTGGTGAAAGATGGTACCATGACACATAGTGCGGCACCCTCTTTTGAGTGGCTGCTTCCTCCTCTCCTTCCTCTTTTCATGTTCGTTTGCTTTGAGTTGTCTCAAAACTCTTCTTCCTCTTCACCACCCCCGCTTCCCCAGCCGCCTGAGCCACTGATAGCAGCAGCGCGGCACATAGTGCAGCTCAATCTGCTCAACGGCCAGTTCCTGGCAGTGCAATTCAGGAGGGGCGACTTTAAGGACTACTGCCAGAAGAAGGTACGACTCGTGTGATAGCAACGTGATATCAAAAGCGCCTTGAGACGTCGTCTTGAAACAATGTGCAATTCGGGAGGGGAGACTTTAAGGACTACTGCAAACCAGAAGAAGGTACGACTTGGCTGTACGGAGTCGTGTGAAGAAGGAAGGTACGACGGTTGGTGTGGGAAGAAGGTACACGTTGTATGAGAGAATGGCTTGTGTTGGTACACGTTGTATGAGAGAATGGCTTGTGTTGGTACACGTTGTATGAGAGAGTGGCTTGTGTTGGTACACGTTGTATGAGAGAATGGCTTGTGTTGGTACAAGTTGTATGAGAGAATGGCTTGTGTTGGTACACGTTGTATGAGAGAAATGCTTGTGTTGGTACACGTTGTATGAGAGAATGGCTTGTGTTGGTACACGTTGTATGAGAGAATGTCTTGTGTTGGTACACGTTGTATGAGAGAATGGCTTGTGTTGGTACACGTTGTATGAGAGAATGGCTTGTGTTGGTACACGTAGTATGAGAGAATGGCTTGTGTTGGTACACGTTGTATGAGAGAATGGCTTGTGTTGGTACACGTAGTATGAGAGAATGGCTTGTGTTGGTACACGTTGTATGAGAGAATGGCTTGTGTTGGTACACGTTGTATGAGAGAATGGCTTGTGTTGGTACACGTTGTATGAGAGAATGGCTTGTGTTGGTACACGTTGTATGAGAGAATGGTTTGTGTCAAATGCGATCCGGTGACAGAGAAGATACAACTGGTGAGGGGAAATGGAATGAGTCGTCCCAGGAGAAAGCCTAAATACGAATACCTATTGAGCTGATGGAAGTGAGGCCTCCACAGCCCACCTTCTTGTCACACAAGTCGTACCTTCCTTTTTCCGTAAGTTGTACCTTCATCTGTACATGTCCAAGGAATAGGCGTTCCTAGTCAGGGGACAGCAGCAGTACGCATGCATGGAGCACATCCCCTTCATCCACCATCACGCCCCTTACTCTGCTCTATCTCCCCCTCCTTTCACTCTCTCCCCCCCATCCCTTTTCCCCACTCCCTCTCTTTCCGTTCCCTCGCACCCTTTCTCTCTCTCACCCATCCCTTTTCTCCACTCACCCTCTCTCCGATCCCTCGCATCCTCTCTCTCTCTCCCACCATCACGTCCCCTCCATCCCTCCACCAATCATGTCCCCTCCATCCCTCCACCAATCACGTCCCCTCCATCCCTCCACCAATCACGTCCCCTCCATCCCTCCACCATCACGTCCCCTCCATCCCTCCACCAATCACGTCCCCTCCATCCCTCCACCATCACGTCCCCTCCATCCCTCCACCATCACGTCCCTGTCTCTGCTCTTTCTCCCTTCTCTCACCCGCTATCCCACCCTCTCACTCTCTCTCACCCCGATTTCTCTCTCTCCCACCACTTTCACCAGCATCGGACGGCTGTTTCCTCCCAGTGGACCAGGCAGCACAGTGCATGCGTGCTGCAGCCCTGACAGCACGTGTACCCCTCGTCTTCTTCGCCACCAACGCCCTCTCTCTCCCTCCCATCCCTCCCACCAGCACCCATCGGACGGCTGTTTCCTCCCAGTGGACCAGGCAGCACAGTGCATGCGTGCTGCAGCCCTGACAGCACGTGTCCCCCTCGTCTTCCTCGCCACCAATGCGCGGCCGCACGAGGTAGCAGCCATTGCAGCTACGCTCCTTGAGGCGCCTCAAGAACAGTCACTGGAGGTCGCAGCTACGGCTGCTGCGGCTGATACTGCTGCTGCTGTGGCTGCTGCTGCTGCTGCTGGTGCTGCTGCTGCCGCTGGTGCTGCTGCTGCTACAGCGGCTGCTGCAGTGGAGCAGGAACAGCCATCTAGAAAGGCACTTGAGAGAAGACTGTTGAGTCGACTTGCAGATGAGCATGAGAGCCGAGGTCAGCAAGAGGAGATGCCACAGCCAGCCGAAGCACCGCACTTACTGCAGGGTGCACAGCCGACTGGGCCTGATTCTCAGCCGTTGGATCCACGACCTCAGCGATTGATGCCCGCGATCGCCTGGCGCTTGCTGCCTGGTGTTTCAAGCGGATTTGAGGCTTCACTGCATGATGAGCAGCCTGCCAACACCAGCAGCGGTCATGACGCTGTAGATGGCAGCAGCAGTGCAGTGCAGCTTGTAACGCTAGCGCATCTGCTCTCTAAAGAGGACAGCAGCATGTGGCTTCAACCGCTTATGGAAAATGTGAGTTGGCAGCAGTTTTACGCTGTGCAGGTTTAAAGGTTGATTGGTTTGACAATTTTCAAAAGACGCTCAACTTGAACAGTTCTACACGGTCAAAGCTGGCAAACGCTGGTGAAGGATGGTGAAGGTTGGTGAGGGGTTGTGAAGGGTGGTGATGGATAGTGGAGGCTGGTGAAAGTTGGCGAGTGATGGATAGGGCTGGTCCAATAGAGCATGAGTTAGGTGCCATTGTGACTTTTGAGTCTGTTGGAACGCCTCCCAAGGCTGTTTGTGGTCTTTCTTCTATTCGATTCACGACCTCGGCAGCAGGCATACTGGCCGCTGCTGTGCTTCCGTCATCATTCAGGTCTTTCTTCCCCCTTCAACTACCTTCCCCTCCTCCTTCCCCCCAAACAGGGCATCAATATCAAGACTGCCCCGCAATCCGACACCACTCTCGAGAAGCTGGTGTGTGCGCTGCCTGCTGGCTTTCTGGGCACAGCCCACTCCTCGTTCACCAAGAGCTATCTCCCCCCTCCATTCAACATCATGTTGCCTTGCTCCCTCCACCAGGGCATCAATATCAAGACCACCCCGCAAGCAGTCGCCACGCTGGAAAAGCTGGTGTGTGCGCTGGGTGCTGGCTTTCTGGGCACAGCCCACTCCACCTTCACGAATGACATTGTGCGGCTGAGACACGGGTTCCGCACTGCGAGGTGCAGCGATGACTATATCTGCAGTGCCGGGCCGAAAGAGGGGTAGGAGCACGAGTAAAGGTAGGAATAGAAGAGAAATCAGCGCACAATGAGTGCACAATGGAAAGGGTTTACTCGAAATCCATCTCGTCGTGAAAAGGGAAAGGTAAAGATCGCACAATGGAGTCTCCCTTCCCTGGGCTTCAAGGCATGGGCTGCTTGGTTGGACGCATGACTTCTCTGGACGATCCTTGTTCTGCCTAGAGCAGCACATGCAGTTTGTATGGAGGGAGTGACGAGCTGAGGGAGTGACGAGCAAAGGGGGTGACAAGCAAAGTGGGTGACGAGCAAAGGGGGTGACGAGCAAAGGGGGTGACGAGCAAAGGGGGTGACGAGCAAAGGGGGTGACGAGCAAAGGGGGTGACGACGAGCAGCGGGTGGGACGACGAGCGGGTGGGGAGCAGAGAGGATAGCTGGGTCCACTAAAGGCAAGAGAGTAAACTAAAAGGGTTTATAGGAAAGGAATTTACTTGTGCTCCAGTGAGACTGACAGGGCTTTCCCAAATATGGAAGTTCACAGTGTGGTCATTGGGTGAGTGCAGACTCTTGTACAGTCACAGAGTGCTATATATATCTGTAAAAGTATCTATAATGTGTTTCAAATTTCCATATACCGTATTACCCTGGAGATATTGCAAGTGCGCTTATAATAAAACATTGATTTTTAGGGGGGTGCGCTTATAAATGAGTCTGTCGACCACCGTCGACCTGACCGACGGGCAGAAAAAAAACTAAAACCTCATCGGATGGCATGCCATCCGAGGGAGGCATCAACCCTAAATCCATGCCTCCCTGTGTTTAGGGTTGATGCCTCCCTGACCGGATGCATGCCTGACTCAGGTTTATTTTTTTTGCCCGCGGGCAGCGAGCTCAGCCGGGCGGACTTGCTTGTTGGCTGAGCTATATTGTAAGGAATTCACGAGGACCCACTTCTTTTTTAAGAAGAAACTGACACGCGCGTGGCGATTAAACGACGACGGGTGGTATACCCGTGAGCCTCCTGTTCCTCCTTACCCACCCATGCCTCCAGTGCCACCTGCACCCCCTGCTCCTCCTGCTCCACCTGCTCCTCCTGCTCCTTCCGCCCCTCCTGCTCCTCCGAATCCGCCTGCTCCTGTTACGAGTACCAGTACTCCTTGCTCGGGCAAGAGGCCCGTGCTCTAGCTCTTGCTGCCAGCGACATTCGACGAGTTCCTGTCTGAACCGGAGTCCGACAAGCCCGCCGATGTGTATGTTGAAGCTTCGCCGCCAGCACCACGGTGGGGACACCCCAAAGACTGTGGGCGCCGACAACGATGTACCCGCCGACGAGCAGCCATGCGGCGACTGCGAACCGGGTGGTGACGATGAAACGGGCGGCGGGGCTGGCACAGAGGCAGATGTGTTCCCAGAGGGCGGTGCCAGCACTGCGTACGACGACAGCGTTGAGACTTGGTGGCACGATGCCCCGCGCAACAAGATGCCGATTCCTACTGTCAGAACATTATAGCTTATGCTTTTGTGTAGGCTGTAGTGGGGTAGCCCATATGGGGTACAACCTAATTAGGGTTAGTACTTGTACCCAACTCTTTCATAGTGCATTCATTCTCGTTTCAGTTTTCTCATGGTATCGAGCAGGTTCCCTCGTGGGAACTGTTCCTAGGGCCCACCGATTCGTTTTTTTATTTCCTGCCCGGAGCACGCTCAGCCCTTGCCCGAGTCGCGCTCCCCCTTTCTCACTGTGTCGCGCCGCCCTAGCGGCTGTGTCGCGCCGCCCTTGACGGCCCCGATCCGCCGCCCTAGCGGCCCCGTCGCCTACCCCGCGGCCCTCGAGCCGCCCTTCCAGGCCCCGATTCGCCGCCCTTTCGGCCCCGTCGCCTACCCCGCGGCCCTCGCGCCGCCCTTCCCGACCCGGCCCCGCCCTTGCTGGCCCCGTCGCCTACCTGCGGCCCCGACGCCTACCTGCGGCCCGGTCGCCTACCTGCGGCCCCGCGCCTACCTGCGGCCCCGACGCCTACCTGCGGCCCCGTCGCCTACCTGCGGCCCCGTCGCCTCCTTGCGGCCCCGGCGCTGCCCTTCCCGGCCCCGACGCCGCCCTTCGCGACCCGGCCCCGCCCCTGCTGGCCCCGTCGCCTAGCCCTGCGGCCTCGTCGCTGCCCTTCCCGGCTCAGGCGCCGCCCTTTCTCGGCCCCGAAGCCGCCCCTTCCCGGCCCCGGCCCAGCCCCTGCTGGCCCCGTCGCACGCCCTTCCCGGCCCCGACCCCGCCTTCACGCGGCCCCGCCGAGCTACTGCCGAGCCGCCAGCGCCACCCGAGCCGCCGCGCCACCTGAGCCGCCCGAGCCGCCGTCCCGCCGAGCCGCCTGAGCCGCCCGAGCCGCCCGAGCCGCCGTCCCGCCGAGCCGCCCGAGCCGCCCGAGTACCCTGAGCCGTCCGAGCCGCCCGAGCCGCCCGAGCCGCAGAGTAGCCGAGCCGCCGAGCTGCAGTTCCTGCCGAGCCGCCGAGCTGTAGTTCCTGCCGAGCTGCCGAGCCGCCGAGGCGCCCGAGCCGCCCTGTCCGGTAAGAGCAGCGCCTCTGTCACTGCACTGCCCTTACCCCACTGTTCGCGCTACTAGTCTACTGCTGTCATGGCTACCCCTAGTGTCCTCGCTTTTGACGCTGAGGGTCGGGCCATTGACTTTGATGTCTGGGTAGATGACCTGCAGCTTTTCCTACAGTGCGATAGGGCAGACGGTCTCTCCCTCTTTGACCTCACCTCTGGTGCCTCTCCTGCCCCTGCTGCTGATGCTGACGCCACTGTTCGCTCATAGTGGGCCACACGCGATGCTGCTGCACGTCTTGCTGTGCGGCGCCACCTGCCTACCTCTGAGCATGCGCACTTTAGCTAGTACAAGAGTGCTCAGACCTTGTACGACGCAGTAGTTGCACGCTACTCCCCCCCTACCACTGCTGCACTGAGCCGCCTCATGCTACCGTACCTCTTCCCTGACCTTGCTGCCTTTCCCACAGTCGTTGACCTCATTACGCACCTCCGCACTAGTGACACTCGCTACCGCGCTGCGCTTCCTGCTGAGTTCTGCGCCAAGAACCCCCCCCCATGAACATCACTCTCTACTACATAGTCACCCGCCTCCCTGACTCCCTTCCTCTACTACGTAGTCAGGGACCACTTCCTCTCAGTTTGCCCCACCACCCTTACCATTGACCTCCTCGAGAAGGCCCTCCTAGCGGTAGAGAAGAGCATAGTCGCTGTAGGAGCCTCTCGTGGTGACCCTCGAACCCCCATCTTTGAGGGGTGTTCCCCCTCCCCCCTTTTGCCCTCTGTTGCCTCTGCTGCTGCGGCCGACCTCGTTGGGCTTGAGTCGGTCGGTGCGGGGTCTACCCCTAGCGGGAGACGCCACCCTCGCAAGGGCAACGGGGGCAGGGGTGTTGGAGGAGCTAGCGGGGGCACTGGAGGCGGCGGTGGAGGTGGCGGAGGGAGTGGGGGTGGCGGTGGGGGTGGTGGCGGGGGTGGAGGTGTCGGTGGCGGCAGTGGAGGCGGAGGCGGCGGCGGTGGCGGTGGGAGCGGAGGTGGTGGCTGAGGTGGCGGCGGTGGAGGAGGCGGTGGCGGAGGAGGTGGAGCTGGTCGGGGTGGCGCTGCGCAGAGGGTCGGCTCCGGTGGTGGTCAGCGCCAGCAGCAGCAGCAGCGCACTCGTGACATCCCCTCCCCTCAGCAGCTCCGTGAGTGGTACGCTGCACGCCAGCGGGGTGGGGGTACTGGTCCGTGCACCTACGTCCTACGCACCGGCGACCGCGCGGGTGAGCAGTGCGGGGGTGCGCACTCCACCCAGCGCTGCTTTGGCCGCCTAACGGACGCTTGGCGTCACCAGTTCCCGGAGGCCACGGAGATCCCCCGCTGGGGTGAGCTGTCTAGGGCGGGAGTAGCTGTCTTTGACCTTGAATTTGATGCTATTCTTGCTGCCATGTATGCTCTGACTATTAGTGATGAGGGTGACTGCCACCGGTGTTTTCCGCCCGACCCGGGCATTGAGACTGCCGCTCTAGGTACTGGTGAGGCTGCTGCTCTAGGTGCTAGCAAGGTTGCTGCTCTAGGTGCTCGTGCGTCTGCTCCCTCAGGTGCTGGTGAGTCTGCTCTCTCAGGTACTGCGTCGGCTTCGGCCTCCCACACCTTCACCCTTGACTCGGGGGCTTCTCGCTCCTTCTTTCGAGACCGCACCACACTCACGCTGCTTGGCCGGCAAGTTGCAGTCTCGCTGGCAGACCCCTCTGGGGGTCCTGTCCTTGCTCACTACTCCACTGTCCTCCCGTGTCCGGCGGCCCCCTCTGGCACCCTGTCTCGTCTTTACCTCCCCTCGTTCTCTACGAACTTGGTGAGTGGTGCTGACCTACAGGATGCGGGGGTTCACCAGTTCATTCCTGCGCGTCAGCAGGTGACCCACTGCACGGACGCTCGGACAGGCCGACACCTAGCCACATTTATACGTCGGCCGGGGTCGAGCCTGTACACACTGACCACTGCGTCTCCTCCAGTCACTGCATCTGGTCAGGTAGCTGCGTCGGGTCAGGTGTTTGCTGCAGCGTCCAGGTCTGGTCCTGAGTCTGCCCCCTGCTCGTGTCGCCTCCTGTCTCACGAGACTCTCCTCTGGCACCACCGCCTTGGTCACCCCTCCCTGCTTCGTCTCCGAGGCATGGCCTCCTGTGTCCTTGTCTCTGATCTTCCCCGGTCCCTCCCTCCCCTTCCTCCTGGGACTGGCCCTACCTGCGTCCCCTGTGTTGAGGGGCGGCAGCGGGCTGCCCCTCACTCCTCCTAGTTTCCTCTGACAGAGGCCCCGCTGTAGACGCTTCACATGGACGTGTGGAGCCCGGCCCGCGTCCGTGGACAGGGTCACGAGCGCTACTTCCTGCTGGTGGTTGACGACTACTCGCGTTACACCACAATCTTCCCCTTGCGCAGCAAGGGTGATGTTACTGCGGTGTTGATCGACTAGATCCGCGCAGCTCGTCTCCAGCTTAGGCAGAGCTTTGGCTCGG